TGTATGAATGATCATAGGTTGAAATAGCAGATTTCAAAATGCGGAAAAAGTAAAACTATCGGTTGCAAACAATGGAGACCATGTTTGTGTATATATACCTCGAAGTAGAGTTCTGCAGGACCAGATTCATCAACAGTAAGACCTCCTTTGAGCATGGACCAACATTTGGATTCAGCAACAACCGAACCCGCATATAGATATTCACTGTTCATCTTGAAAACGGCTCCCACGGGAGCATTTCCTTCGCTTACTTGTAACCAAGCTACAAGTAACATAAAAGACATCAGATAATAATTGGCAAAATGATTATAAAATTCTAAAGAGTGTGCTCCAAGAAACAAAAAAAATTGAAATTATTTTTACCAGAGAAAGTGTAGAGAAGTCCCTTTTCCAAATAAACCTTCTGTGAAACGCTGTCATTCGATTGGTTTCTCTCTCGTGCAACAACAAACTTATTGCCTCCAAATTCTCTGAAATCGACTTTGGCGTTTCCAAATTGTGACCAGCCTTGTGTACCATTTTGTAGGTCAGGGTTCACAATGATCCCACCATTGTATTGTGGTTTATTAGGGTTCTCTAGACACTGCACCAATACAAAAAGATAAATTAGAAACAAATATTTCCAATCGAACATGTTTGAATGAACATAGCATTGCTTGCCTCTATTGTTGCCGAGTAATCATAAGGTACGAACTTTTCTTCACACCCTGCAAACGTTTTCATACAAAAAATGCTACATTAATTCCTGTTTTTTCATTGATTCAATCATTCAAAAGTTTTTTAGCATATAATATAAACATGAAAAATATAGGAAAATCAGAGTATAAGATGGAGAACAACTTGATAGAGAAAGACCGTAGAAGGCAAACAGAAGCAGCAGAAGCTTCATTGCGGAAATAGAGAATATATCACTTGATGATAATTCAGGGTTTTCAATATCAATAATATATATGCAATATATATTTATGATCTTGACATATTTAGTTGACAAAAACAATTTTGACTATACTTTACTTTTAACTTGGTTACCATACTTGTTTTTAAAATAGAAAAAAAAGCTAAGATATTTCTTAAAGACTAGCCTCTTTTTTTTTTTGCACGGAGGCCAAATGTCTGGAAATC